ATCAAAGGGTGAGAGAGGCATATTTCCTCATTTTTGTCTGTGGTATCATCTCACCTGTGGCCTTGATTAATTGGGCCACAGAGCCCAGACAGGACCAGCAGGTGACCCAGGGGCTCTAAGTCCCCAGCACCCATGACCCTCTGTCTGGGCTTTTCAGCCACACACACACACAGCCCCAGCTTTCTCTGTGAGCAAAACCATAGTTCTACACACTCAGGGAGAAGTAGAGGCAAGACATAAACTTTGGCTTGGCACATTCAGACCACTGCAGGGAAAAGGATCCAGAATTATACAGAAAATGGCTCTCTCTCTTCTTGCACAGGAAGACCCAGCCCCAATTATTCATTGTTATTTGCACATCTTCTCAGCATATTGAACTAAATGCAATAATTTAAAGTCTGCTCTTGAAATTACTTATAACATGGAAAGGCACTGACAAAACATACTTTTACCCAGAGTCCTCAAATGAAAATTTTACATACAGAAAAGTACATAGCTGCTCTCAGCACTCAACTTTTAAATTATATATACATATTACTAAAACAAGGTTTTATTAAGGTAAATAGATTACTAAGATCCCAGCTGTCAACTGGGAACTGTCAGTAACTTCATTGTGATTTACCAGATTTATCAGAATCATCATTACCGAGTAGGTTTCATCTCATGTTAGGGGAGAATGTAGGTTATTACCAATGGACTGTTGTATACCTAGGCAAGCATTTCCTTTTCTGTTTTGCACTGAGAAATAGTTTTTTTTTAAGTGGAGGGAGAATCTTGTTTCCTCTTTTTCAGCTTTTCTAACTTAGTTTATTTTCTGTGCCTTGTAGACCCCAGACCATAATCACTTTCTCTTTGAGTCCACTGTTATTGGATGCTGATGAGCCAAGAAGTGCTAGATAAGGAGTCAGAATTTCTCCACTGATTACCTGTGCAATCTCGGGAAAATCACTTAACCTGTCTGTTTCTCCATTTCTCATTTGGAAAGTCAAGGATTAGGACCAGAGATACCAAAAGGCTCTTCTGTTCCCAGTGTCCTAGGTCTCTAGAATTCTGTCCCTGTTGCCTTAGCCCTCATATCAACACCTCTTTGCTGACTGAATGTGTCTAATAATTAGTACTTTGCCCCAGTCAAGGAGAAGAGGGTGGCAGAGGATGAGATGGTCGGATGGCATCACTGATTCAATGGACATGAGTTTGAGTGCACTCCGGGAGATAGCAAAGTTACAGGGAGGCCTGGCGTGCTGCAGTCCATGGGGTCACAGAGTCAGACATGACTTAGAACAACAACCCAAGTCAAAAGAAAAGGTTTTCTCTTCCTCCGCTTCCCCACCCAGTCAGGTTACTTTTGATGTTCACACCCGCAGATAACTGGCTAAGTGGAGGCCTGGGCACAAGGAGGCCAGGGGACCATCTCCCTTCACAACCTGGCTGGTAGCGCCATAGTCGGGGGCCTGCCATCAGAGTCACACAGATGGCCCAGTGGTCACCGCCAGCACTGCTAGGCACACACACTACTAAATGCACGGCACTTGTACAACGGTCAAGGACACTTAAGACAGAAGCAAAGGCAGAGGAACTGCAGAGGTTTAATCATCACATATGGAGAAGATTTTCTGGGCGTGGGAGGGGTTCTTAATACAGCACTTTAACCCTGTCTCCCCTGGATCTGCATGTCTGCACAGGACACTCAGAACGACTGATGAAAACCGAGGGAGTAGTGTTAAGCAGGTTGTTAAATGTTTGTGGGTTTGTTTTGTTTTTTAGTGGGTTTTTTTTTTTTCTGTGCAACTGAATCAGTCATTTGTGTTGGTGTCACATGAAGACAGACTTGGGGGCTTTATGGTGATATTTATTCCAATAGTGCGGGTTAGGGTTAGGACTCTGCCATGAGTTTCTGAAAAAGAGAAGTGTTAGTTGCTCAGTCATGTCTGACTCTCTGTGACCCCATGGACACTGTAGCCCTGCCAGGCTCCTCTGTCCATGAAATTCTCCAAGCAAGAATACTGGAGTGGATTGCCATTTCCTCCTCCAGGGGGATCTTCTCTATCCAGGGATTGAACCTGGGTCTCCTGCATTGAAGATGAATTCTTTGCCATCTGAGCCACCAAAAAGAAGAACAGCTCTGACAAAAGGATGCCCTTAACCTATAACCAATAGAGCAAAGTCAATGGGAAAACCAGGGATTGGTACCTGTGGCCGAATCAGGAAGGAGGACCCACAGGCCTGCTGCCCACGTCACTGCCATTGACCACACAGCCTTGGAGATCCTGGCTATTTATACCACTGCCTCCCTAAATTGGGCTCACAGGACCCACCAACTCTTTTGGTCAAGACAGTAGTTATATAGGTTTAATCTTTTGAACAGTCTTTAAAAACAAAAAGACTTTGTATCATCAGCTAGAGGCTGATTTTCCCTATGCTGAAACTGTAGGTCAAGGGCATAACTAACCAATAAAAATAACAGTAAAAGGTGCCATATATTGAGTGCTGACTATATGCTGAAAACTGAGATCAATGCTTTAACCACACGCTGAATCTAGTGTTTTTTTTTTTGCAATAGAAGGATAAAGCCTGCATATAAAGAATGGATAAATTATGAGAATTGTGGTTAACCACTATGGGAGGGCTTGGGATTGTCTTCAGAGATTTTTAAAGATGAAGGGAAAGGTGGTCTTTTGGGATCAGCTCCAGGAAGTCCTACCTGGGAATAGGAGATAAGCCTCATCTCTCCATCCTGGTTCTGGGAAACAGGTCTGTTTCCTCAGCATGTTGAGTTTTCATGAAAGTGATGGATGAAATGATGGTGGGAGATGACAGAGTCCTCTCACTCTAGGTTAAAATGGAGCCAAGAGTGAAGTGAGATTTACTCAGTCTTCCTGAAACTTAAAGAAAAATCCCCAAACTTGCCATTCTGATGACAGCTAATTTAAATGGTCCACAAATAGAACAATTAACTGACTTTAGAGATTCTGGTCTTTTGCTCTTTTAACCTGCCTGACTCAAAGTGTCCACATATTTAGTGAAATCTAGTGGGCACATTGGCATTAAAACTCCAGAGTCAGGATCTGGCCCATATTCAGTTCAGTTCAGTTCATTTCAGTCGGTCAGTCGTGTCCGATTCTTTGCAACCCCATGGACTGCAGGATGCCAGGCTTCCCTGTCCTTCACCAACTCCCAGAGCCTGCCCAAACTCATGTCCATAGAGTCAGTGATGCCATCCAACCATCTTATCCTAATATTGACATTATCACTTAGCTGAAACCAAATGAACTAAGTGCTTTGGAAGATCCAACTAAACACTCCCATCAGTTTCCCATCTCCTGTGACCCTAACAGAGAACAGCATGAAGACTGTAGTACTTTCCTCTTTTTTTTCTTTTTCTTTTCTTTTTTAATGTAGTCCTTTCTTCTTTAAAGTGATAAGGGAATAAGCATGTGGTCTGGGTGCACACCGAACTGTATCATTGCATTTAGAAGTGTTTTGGACATCTCCCCTTCTAATTATTTCAAGTATCAGGTTGTTTCAGTGGCTTCCCACTGCAAACCATCCATTCTGATGTCTTCCTGTCTGTTTGGATGATTGTCACTCACACAACAGAGTGAAGTGTGTCACCAGTGGTAACACGTTTGAACCTGTATGAGTTTTCTGTCACTGGTTAGCAACTGGTTCTATGTAAGCTGCCCTGATTAGCTTTCTGGGAAAAATTAGAATAAAACAGCTTCTCTTCAGAGCCAGGCAGAGCATGAGCATAAGAACCGCATCTTTCCTCATCAAATCAGACTTATATTTGGTTTGATTTTCAGCATGATGGTACCTTCCCAAGGAGGGGCAGTGAGCTGCTTACTGAACAATAGCAATGATTTTAAACAGTATTTGTAACATTACAAGCAATCTAGAAGAGATTTCTGTTAAAGAACAAGCTACCCCACCCACATGTATTATAAATGTGCTTGACTGGCATTTGGAGAGAAGAAAGAAACTCTTATTAAAATTTAACATCGACTTGGCCAGACTTTGGGCTGAACTGGAAGAACAAATGCTGCTCAGTGAAAAGCTGGGGACAGCAGTGACGTGATTTCTACTCCTAAGGCTGAAAGGGGAACGGCTGGTGAACCCCTTGCAGCAGGCCCACACGTCTCCAGTTCCAAGGGTTCGTTTAGTACCAGTCTTGCCACAAAGCAGTGGCTTTTCCTTTTGAAATGCCAGATTTGTAGAGCCAGTTTCAGCGGAAAGAGGGAATATCTGATGTCTACAATCGCCTTGGAGTTCTGGAGCGGTGCTGATGGACACAGAGGCACTCAGGATGACCTCTCCTCAGCGCCATTCACGTGGGGGCCTGGCCAGCCTCAGAGCACCTCCTCTGACCCTGCTGGTTCTCAGAGACCCTGACCACAGTTACAACACTTCAAGGGCTATGGGGTCCATAACAGCTTCTAAGTATTCTCCTTCCTTCCTCTTCTTCTATAAGTGCCAGACTTGCGCTGACTCCCCGCCTCTACGTTCTGGGGGAAGTCCCAGTCCAGTGCTTGGGTTGGGACAGTGGGAGGCACTGCGCCCAGGCTGGAACACCCTTGAAGGTGTGCCATCAGGATCATTTCCCATAATAGCACTCAGGTCACGAGAGGAGATGCCACCCGCGCCACAGGCTTTTTAGTGCTGGTCAGAAATGCCCTGCATCACGTGCCTCCCTGCAGAGAGGAGTTGCTCTGCTGCAGGATGGCTGCGTGGACCAGTGAGAACTTCCCGAGGGGCATTTCTTATAGAAGGGATCACAAGGGGGTCCATCATGACCCGTCAGTTTGTTCTGAAACATCAGTTACCCAGAGCCTTGAACGTATCAATTACAGATGCAAGACATACAAGCAAAGCTATTTCAACATGACTCCTAGCCAAATATAAAACTCCATGGTGGTGGAGCCAGGAAAGTGGTTGTAGGGGGTGGAAGGGAGAGGGTGGGAGGGGCAAGGGGGGAGGAGAGAGGAAGACAGGATATCGAAAACCAGTTTTTTATGTTTTCATTTCAAAGAGTCTGATCCCACCCAGGCAAAACTGAAATCCTGCCCAAACCTCCGCCCAGAGGCCTCTGATTGCGAGAACTCTATCTGAGCAAAGCTGTAGACACTGCAGCTCTAATCCTCACTAGAAAAAAAAAAATATAGGAGGCAGTTTATTATTAAAATACAAACGTGAAAATACTTCAAACCATTTCGTTAGCAGCAGAGTTCCCAATGCAACCGTCCCTTTATCAAGTTTAGATCACGAGGCTTCAAAGCATCGGTGTTGCTAAGACCCTTAAAAGAGCAGGGAGAAGGGGAGGGAAGACCCCTTTGCTCTTAAGGGGCAGACGGTCCTTCTGTGAGACTCTCTGGGGGTCTGTCTATTCTGACGGGCTACTCGGTGTGAGTCGGGCACTTTGAAGCCGGCCGTCGGCGCTCCGGCTCGGAGTTCTCAGGCACAGCGCGACAGAGTCAGCTTGGTGAGCCCTTCCGCATGCATTCGGTACAACAGCTGAAACTCGGCCGGCAGCTGGTGGGATTCCTGCCACTTGGTGGTGAATTTGGTTCCTTTTTTGTCATAGTAATGGTACGGAAGGTCTTCCCTTGTGTTGGGGTCAAATCCGAAAGGCCAGAATCCATACAAGTGGATCTCCTCACAGACTGCTGACGCCAGGGTGTACATGAGAATACCTGTGCTCAGCCGTTTGGGCGACAAGTGCTTGTTTTTCCAGTACCTGTGGAACAATAAGCACAGGTGGATTCAGAGGCCAGGGCCGAAGGCTTCCGGCAGACGAGTCACTGCGACCAGTTGGGGCAAGCGAATTTATCCAAGTAACGTAGCCAGTCCTACTCTGAATCTATCCTGAAGACCACAGAACACTCTCAGGGCAGGGCCATCTACTCTGTGAGGCCCAATGCCAAATGAAAATGCGGGCCCTTATTTAAAACTTAGTCGAGAATTCCAAGAGGGCAATAGCAGAGGGTTAAGCCAAGTGCCGGCCCTTCTAGGTGGGCTCGTCCGTCACCGCGAGCCGCACGCGTGGAGCCGTCCCTGCTCCTGTGTGTGCGGCCGCTCCGGCATTCCGACTCTGTGGCCCCGCGGGCTGTGGCACGCCAGACTCCTCTGTCCATGGAAGTTTCCGGGCAAGAAATAGTGGAGCGGCCCTGCTCTGGGTTGTCCTAAAGAGTGGTATCTCTGACTCACCGGGGATGCCGCAAAGGCCCATCAGTGAGAATGGCCATGCCCCTCATACGTAAAGGGCGGATCTAAGGGGCCCTCTTCTGTTACTTTCTTACCCAAACTCAGAGATTGAATCTTTCTTCGTGGGTTTCAAAAGATTGTGGGGCCTTATTTTTTTCTACCCTTTTGTGAAAACCACATTTCCTGTTCCTTTGTCTTAACCAAGAGCTTCCAAGCCCTTCTTTGACGTGCCAGAACCTAAGAAAAGTATTTACACACTTTCTGAATTTGTAAAAATTGCTAAATAATGGTTGCTGTGCCTTCCACATTTAGAGAGTAATTTGAAGCCTTGCTACCTAAACTGCCAAATGTCTGAGACTGGTGTGGCGTGAAGGAGTGTGTACCTGTGTGCACGTGTGTGCCTGTGCACTTATGACTGGTGTGCAAGCATACTCAAACTGTTCATGAATCAGATTTCCACAGACCGTACTTCCTCCAAGCTTTCGTTGAACCACTGTGTTTGGTCTAAGCCCAAGTGGGTCATTCTGGCTACTCCATGGGCCTCCTGAGAGGCTGGGGGCCAGGCAGGTCACACAGGCTGCTTCCGGAAGGTTCTGTAATATGCAGTTAGACCCTTCTTCACTACCCGAAGGCTTCACATAGACATTCCCCTTCCAGGTGAAATTCACAAGTTCAGTCTTTGTTTTCATATTCTTACCTAAGGAGTTAGAATGACTCCTGACGATTCTTTCGGTACAGCTGTGCTTAGAGTGAGAGGGGAGCAAAATGATGAGGTCAGAAAGCCCGCAGGGCCGGCGGGCAGGATGCCTGGCTTCTGATTCTGGTTCTGCCCATTTTGGGCAGTGATGTTCAGTAAATACCTCATTCTTTGTACTCAGATGATACGTCTTTAAACTTAGAAGCTGGGTTATATTACCTCTTAAAAAGGTAACCATACATCCTGGAAAACTGAAATAGCCCCAGTTTTTGTCTGTTATCTTTGTCATAATTCTTAATAGTGCCCTTTTTCTTTCCAAGAAAAAGTTCTGGCGTGGACTATAAATGCTGGCATCAGCCTGTCTGCTAGATACATACCAGCTGATTACACGATCATTCCTCCTTACATGAGAGGTCAGCTACAAGATCTTAAATCTGGAAGATGTTAGAGGACTACAGCATGTCTACTATGTATGTACCCATCTGTGATGTGATAAAAGTTTTAGAATCCTTGTCTACCAGCCCTCCCAGAACCCACTCTAACTCGCAGTAACGCCTGGAGAGTAGGTGAGGACACTGGGGCTACTCGAATAGGGGAAATTAGAGGTGAGGCAATTTCCTCAGATTATTTATAGAAAAAATTCTGCAATTAATCTTGTTTTATAAAATTCCTTGCATTTTATAAATGTGTGTGTGTGTGGGGGCTCAGTCCTACTCTTTGAGACCCCATGGACTGCAGCTCACCAGGCTCCTCTGTCCATGGAATTTTCCAGGCGAGAATCCTGGAGTGGATTGCCAGGCCCTTCTCCAGGGGATCTTCCCAACCCAGGGATCAAATCCAGGTCTCTTGCACTGCAGATTCTTTACCATCTGAGCCACCACGGAAGCCCTTAAATGCCTGCTCCCAATTCTGGCTGCTCATTAGAATCATCAGGGGAGTTATTAAGACATGCCAAGTGCCTGAGTCGCTCTCCTTCCCCACCAGACAAATCACGTTAGGATCTCTTGAAGCAGAGCCCAGACAAGAGTATTTTTTAAATCTCTCCAAGTGATTCTGAGGTGTAGCCAGAATTAAGACTCATCAGACTAGATGAAAATACTGTATCCTGGTTGATCTGTCTTTCAAATTACAGGGGATAACAACAAGCTGCTAAAATACTTTTCACATGTTTTGGCACTCAAATCTCCGATGACTAAAGCCAATTATACAATTTTGACTTATCTAGGTGGTTTTCTAATCTTGGCCATCTAAAAAAAAGAAAAAAACACCCATCAAATAAAAAGGAACATTTAAAGTCAATTGCATCTTTAAGAAAACCACTTGATTTGTCCGCTTTAGTCGTTGGCATTATTGGGACGTAGCTGTCCATTCAGAGAAAATTATTCATTTGTGGTGATTTCCATGACTGCTTGTTGGGCTTACCACCATGGAAGGGGACAGGGGGGCTGGTGGAGAGGCAAAGCTGATGAAACACCAGTCTCTCCATTTGACACTTGGTTACCAGCTGGGGTAGGAGATTGAACTTCTTACCTAGAACGATCCGTTCATGCATTACAAAACATCAGAATGTGTTCTAAGGTACTATGCTAACCACAACAACTAACTAATCAGATAGCTAGGCTCCCACCCCCAAGAGATTACGATATTGATTTGCCATCTGGTAGGGTGTGAGTTAAAGGCAATAAAACATACACACCTGTTGACATGTTGCATTATGTTTCCAGGCCAAGCCAACTGGAGCTTTAACTGACCTCTGTGTTCAACAAAAAAGTCAACTAATGTCCTGGTAACAGTGGCCGACGTGTGGAAGAAAAACGCAGGGATCCAAAGAATGGCCCCGTCAAGCTTTTTCAAACTGAGAAAAAAGTTGTTACGGTCCTGAATGGTCAAAAGGTTGTTGTAATATTTTTCCAGGATGCTGGGGTTGAAGGTGGTTAGGTTGGTTTTCCTTCCAACATCTCTTTGGAAAGCCTCCGTAGGGGCGAAATTGCAACGGAAAACAAAATCTGACTTATCTATCTGTGGTCCACACCGGCTCCCTGTCAGGATCCCGCTATTTCCAACCACAGCGCAAATGTTATAACGCTTATTCACAATGGGAGACACATCTGGAAGCAGTGATCGGAAGTTATTGCTAATAGAGAAAACATATTTATGGCTGGAATAATCATAGTGCATCAGTTGTCCAATCCGAACACTATTCTTGGTCAAAGAAAAATTTTTTATTACATCGACATGCTGAAGAATTTCTTGCCTAAAATAAAAAGAGATTCATTAAATGTATCCCATTCAAAAGAATTGATTTTCCATCTTAGGTCTTACACTGTTTCATTCAGGCAAGAACTGTAGGCACACTGAACCCAAGAAAGATTATACATTCATAATAAGTGAAGGGAGAACTGCTTCAGGATTACAGACATGCTCTAGCCTCTCAGCTTCTGGGTGTAATCCTCTAAGGCTTGTAAATGTTGTGATTTATGGCTTTCAGTTGCTGATTCTTTGGGTTTCTGCTCTACCCAAAAACTGTATTTGATCAAGGGGAAGGCATGGGCCAAACTGTGTGAGAAGATACAGGGAGACAATTAGCTCAAAGAGCTCACACTAATGCACAAACTTTGGTGACTTATAGCTTGCAACTAGGGACTACTTGTTTGCTATTGGACTATAGTGTACAAGGAATATCAAATATCACTGATGTCCAGATAAGAGTCAAATAGATATGAGTCAGTATGGTGCTATCTATTATTAAAATATAAAAATGGTAATAGCAGTGGGAGTAGTTGAATATTTAATAGAAATGAGATGATAATCTCATTATTGTCCTTTGAATAATGAAAAAGGAATCTTTTTCTACTTGATTATATAGAAGCCCAATTGAGTTAGAGAAACCTAATTCTTTAGAAAAAGAAGCTATTGTAAATCCTGAAAACATGTGTATATTCTAAGAATTCAGAGGATAAACAGGCAAGGGTGGTACTTAGCACTAATTTCTGGTTGCTTTCATGTTGAGCATTAGGCGACATTAACCATCTCCTCTTAAAGTCTCTGCGATTTAAAACACTTAAGAGACATCAGTCATGTGTTACTCTGCTACTAGGTTCTCCAGGTCCAAGAAATCACATTGAACTTCCTCTGTCTTTTGCCCCCCAAAATGGCAGGAATGAAACTAAATGCTTTGCATACTCTCACTTTACCTGGAATCTTACTTTTTAAAAAATTACTTCAATTTGTCAAAATGCAGAGTGACATACACTGAAGGCTTTAAACCAAAACTTCCAAAGTTACTAAGTGTTCACTGTAAACTGTTACAAAGGTAAAGGTTTAAAGTGACACTAGGCAAGTTAATTAAAGATTACCTAATAAATGGATTGAAAGAAGGGAAGTTTTGAGAAGGAAATATTGTTCTAATTGGTTATTTGGATCACATGGCCTAAACATTTTTACTGAGACAGAAATATGTTTTGGGAAATATATAATATATTTGACCCATGACAATTTTCTGGGCTGCCTAGAAAATTAAGTTGGATTAAAACCACAAAAGTTAAAAAAGAAAACACTTCAGAGTTTTAGAATTAATCAATTATTATCATGGACTAATTTTTAATTAAACAATGTTTTAAAATTTTTAATCATAATCATATGACTCTATGCCAACTTTTCAAGTAAACATTTTCATGTACCATGGATAGCTACTGAATTTGTTTTAATTCCATCATTAGATTAAAAGTGTGCAATAACTAGAAATTCTATGACCAAAACACAACACCCTAAATAGACTGGTAAAATAAACTTTTGTAAAATAAGTATTCATACCCCTAATGAATACACTAGATGGCTCACATTCCATTTAACAGTGTAATTATCCCACCAAGAAGGAAGAAGTAATGACTTATCTGGGATTGCTAAGAGTAGACCAGAAATCACTGAGGAAAATACATACATTCGCATAAATCTCATCCTTCTTCCCCCACCTCAAAAAAGAAAGGTTCATACACACACACACACACACACACACACACACACACACACACAAACTCCATGTATAAATGAAGCTGCTATAAGACAATGAAGAGTAATTTTGGGTAGCTTTTACAATGTATTAAAAGCTATAAAAGTTTAATGAGAACAATCAGGTTAAAAAACCAAAACCATACTTAAACATCTGAATATATTTGGGCTGAGATTTTTCACTAGTAATTTGTTGGGGATAAAGTATAGTGTCTTCTGTATTTCAGTGAGAATACTTTTTTACTTTTTTTTTTCTTTTCCCCAATGAGAGGCAATGAAAATGCATTGGGTGGTCTTTTTGTCATTAACTTTTTTTTTCTTTTAAAATAAATGGCTTGGCGTATTAGCCATACATGCTAACCATAAATCATGGTGCTCAATTAAGCTCAAGTTAAGGAGAATACTGAAAACAACTTATTTTTTTTTTTTTTTTACTTCTTTTCAAATTGGCCTTATTGATGTTTTCCTTTTATGAGGGGGCACTCCATAAACAGAAAAGGGTTACTAATCAGCCTTTGTGCAGTCAGGCCAAGAAGGAAATGCAGATACACCTTGGGTTGGGGGGAGTGGATTTCTGTTGTTCTGTTTTGTTTTCGTTTTGAGCTCCAGAACTCAAGACACCTCCTGGATCTCCTATCCTACCTTTGATGTAAAAACGCTGTCCGATTAAATGTCCACTTAGGTCTGGCTTGGAGTTCATGGGTCACAGAATGCGGGAAGGGCACCAGAGACGAATCTAGAAGCTTCAGCGCAAACTGCGACCTGGAGAGGAGCATGGGGACAGACAGGCGCGCTGGGCTCAGCTCGGGGAAGCCACGGGAGCCATCAGGGTCCGGCCGGATGGCGGCGGGGCGCGGACGGCGGCGGGGGCGGCTAGTCGGTGCCGACCTCGGGGACATCCCGCCCCCGAGCCCCCTGCTCGTCTGGGCCACCTTCGCTCCCCACACACACTCGGGAGGAAGAGGGAAACCGGGGAAGCCCGTCTCCATTGTCCATCCCCCCGGGCGCGGGAGAGACCATAAAATGGCCGTCTCGCGGAGCGCAGGGCCGGGAGCCCGGCGCTCGGCCCGAAGCGGAGGCGCCAGCGGGGACCGGGGAGTCAGCACCGCGGACAGCAGCCGCGCCCGGGCGGAGGGCCGGGGAGTCAGCACCGCGGACAGCGGCCGCGCCCAGGCGGGCCCGGCC